CGAGCTCGGCCCCCCGTTCCTCACCCGCCGACACGAAATAACGAATCAGATGCATAATACATTTAGGTACCTGCTTACTAGGTATTAATGACACTTCTTATAATATGCATTTTTAATTGATATTCAACATATTTGATTAAAATTTTGAAGTATCTACAGGTAGTATTCAATTTCTATCTTTCCCCATTAGAAGAAAAGTGACAGAGTAACAAAAGAAAAACAAAATCTGTAACAAATGAGAAACAATATTTTCATTTGTTGTTACTACCTATTGTTTTAATCTTGTTTTGTTTTCTGGTCAACGCTTGCTCTTGTTTCTAATGCAACTGCACTCGATGTCACGTTCTGTAACATTGAAATGCAAATTTGTTCATCTCAATTGGATGGATTTTTAGATATAAATGCCAGAAACAAATGTATGAACATTCAGTAGAGTCCAGAAGGTGTCCTACAGATCTGTCTCGCCTATTCCTTATTAACTTTCATGTGTCTTGTTTATTATTAAACCACAAAATATTCTGCCATGTAGATACATAGGTAAATAATGATATTTTCTCATGCAGGCCTTAGGTATTACAAGCACATGTGTATAGGTACGTAAATAAACCATCAGCCACATTAATTAAGGTCGCGAAAACCATACCAACATGGGTACCCATCTATATACCTACCTAACACATAAGTGTATAGATACATAATACTTATTTATTTGCTCAGTTTATTGTAATGAAAAATCTCGCAAGAGAGCAAAAAGTATCCAATAATATACTTTGTAATATTTCGTGCAACATTTACAACTTCATCAGTCGAGCATGTATGCAGTAGTATCACGCTGGTCTTTGTAATTTTCAGATGGCGATGGACAGGAATATATGTTATTATTATATCTACACAGGTACCACGTACCTACCGTTGGTGTGGTATATTTTTGTGGTAACAAGAAGGCAATGGGACTTGGGCAGTTTGTTTCAGCTAGATTTTTTTTCGAGTAGTAGATAGATCCCTAACTATTGAACAATTAAACTTAGTAATAATATTTTCCGAATGCACACATCATATACGTATGTCTATCTATAAACAATTGATTGAATATTGGTTTAGTCCTATTTCCAATGCGTCTTTTTATATCTTGTTTTGTGTGCGATTTTAAAAAAATAATTTTTGTTTGATTGTTTGATTCTTGAAACAAAATCTTTTTTGTTTTGCATGATTGTCAAAACAAAGTTTTGTTCAGTTGTTCAATTGTTGAAACAAAAGTTCTTGTTTTTGTTTTATTCAAATGTTTTTTATGCATGTCTAGCTTTTTTTTTTAAGATATTCAATCCAGTTACCTACATTATATATTAGGCAAATCTCTAACGAATTATTGTCTATTTTTATGATGCATTTAGTAACGATTCCAATTAAAAACGGAATTTTCTGTGGAGTTGGTGAGGTGATGGTTGATTTTCTACCCATGTAGGTACCTATTAGTGGCTCCGGTACAGGTATAAACTACCTACATAGCTGCGTTACTTGCAGATATAAACTTGTGATATTTTGTGCACACAACAAAACCGCTTACTATGCGACGAGTTAAATTACCAAATCAAAACATAATTCGGATGCCTACGAAAATGTAATTGTGTTTTGGTTATCGCGAACGTACGCGACTGTTTTCGATTTGCGAATTTTGACACTGGAGTGACTACCTATAGGTACATGGGCGTCCGTGGAAAATTGGAAAAACCAATGCGCTCCCTTTTGTTATTGTATGAAAATAAAATATAATAGCATATGATATACCACCTATGAATTACTTGTTTCGGAATTAATGCGACATATAAACTAATTGTTTCAGTTTAGTTAGTTATTTATGAGGGAAGGTTTGTCATATACAAACAAGAAGGAATGCCTAAGGATGTGGACTAAACAAATGCAATTGTTTTTTCCAACAATCTGTCCGTAAAGTTGGTATCTTTGCGAAAACGAAAAAAAAAGTTGGTATTCTCTAATAAAAATAACCCTCCGCAAACTTGGTATCGTCCATGAATTCCTTCGCAAAGTTGACATCTTGGTATATTCCCAAGAAAAGTAACCTCTCCGCAAAGTTGGTAATTTCCCAAAAACCTTTCTGTAAAATTTACATTTTCCAAGAACTCATTTGTAATATTAGTACCTTTCTAAGAACCTTTCCCCAGAGTTGTTATCTCTAAGAATTACCCATCGGCAAAGTTGATATCGTCCAAGAATCCCTCCGCAAAGTCGGTATTTATCAATAATCCCTCTGGAAAGTTGGTATTTTCTAAGAACCCCTCCGCAAAGTTGGGTATTCTCCATAAACCTTCCAGTAAAGTTGGCATTCTCCAAGAACTTGTCCGTAATATTAGTATCTTTCTAAGAACCATTCCGCAGAGTTGTTAATCTTTAAGAATTACCCCTCCGCAAAGTTGGTATCGTCCAAGAATCCGTCCGCAAAGTCGGTATTTATCAAAAATCCCTTTGAGAAGTTGATATTTTCCAAGAACCCCTCCGCAAGGTTGGGTATTCTCCATAAACCTTTCAGTAAAGTTGACACTTTTCAAGAACTTGTCCGTAATATTGGTATCTTTCCAAGAACCCTTCCGTAGAGTTGCTATTCTCTACGGATTACCCCTCCGCAAAGTTGGTATCGTCCAAGAATCCGTCCGCAAAGTCGGTATTTATCAAAAATTCCTTTGGAAAGTTGATATTTTCCAAGAACCCCTTCGCAAAGTTGGGTATTCTCCATAAACCTTTCAGTAATGTTGACATTTTCCAAGAAATTGTCCGTCATATTGGTATCTTTCCAAGAACCCTTCCGCAGAGTTGCTATTCTCTAAGGATTACCCCTCCGCAAAGTTGGTATCGCCCAAGAATCCCTCCGCAAAGCCGGTATTTATCAAAAGTCCTTTTGGAAAGTTGGTACTTTCTCAGAACCCCTCCGCAAAGTTGGGTATTCTCCATAAACCTTTCCGTAAAGTTAACATTTTCCAAGAACTTGTCCGTAATATTGGTATCTTTCCAAGAACCCTTCCGTAGAGTTGCTATTCTCTAAGGATTACCCCTCCGCAAAATTGGTATCGTCCAAGAATCCCTCCGCAAAGTTGGTATTAATCAAAAATCCCTTTGAAAAGTTGATATTTTCTGTGAACCCCTCCGCGAAGTTGGGTATTCTCCATAAACCTTTCAGTAAAGTTGACATTTTTCAAGAACTTGTCCGTAATATTGGTATAGGTATTTCTAAGAACCTTTTCGCAGAGTTGTTATCTCTAAGTATTACCCAACCGCAAAGTTGATATCGTTCAAGAATCCGTCCGCAAAGTCGGTATTTATCAAAAATCCCTTTGAAAAGTTAATATTTTCTATGAACCTCTCCGAAAGTTGGGTATTCTCCATAAACCTTTCAGTAAAGTTGACATTTTCCAAGAACTTGTCCGTAATATTGGTATATATCTAAGAACCTTTCCGCAGAGTTGTTATCTCTAAGAATTACCCAACCGCAAAGTTGATATCGTCCAAGAATCCGTCCGCAAACTCGGTATTTATCAATAATCTCTTTGGAAAGTTGATATTTTCTGTAAACCCCTCCGTAAAGTTGGCTATTTTCCACCAACCTTTCAGTAAAGTTGACCTTTTTCCAAGAACTCCAACATAATATTGGTATCTTTCCAAGAACCCTTCCGCAGAGTTGCTATTCTCTAAGGATTACCCCTCCGCAAACTTGGCAATTTCTCTAAAAATCACTCCGCAATGTTGATATTTCTCGAAGAATCCATTCTTAAAATTAGCAATTGACATTTTAGCCAAAATTTAGGCATGTAATATCTTAATAGAGTACTTAACATTTACATATAGGTATATGACGATAACTTTAATGTCGGAAAAGTCAGGTTCAGTCACAAAACTGAGGAATATCTATCAACTCCATTTAGAAATTCGATTAATTTTCATCTAACTGTTCTAATAGAATTTGGACCCTCGCAAAAACCACTCATTTTTTAAGACATTCTACCTAAAAATCCTTTTAATTATGACATGTCATACCTAGTACACGAAGATAACAGGGTCATAGTTAGCCACAATTATCAGCAAATTTAACTCGTAACGATTTGTATCAATTCGATTTTAGGTTTTCGTCAAATTGTTCGCTGTCGCCGGTCCTCGTCGATGCATAAACCAAACGATACCTGCCCGCTTCGCACATCCTACCGTGTTGTGTGCAAAAAGCCCAAGATCATCGTCAGTGAACATCGCAATCGACCGCTACAGATTAGAGCGTCCTGCCGCGGTCGAAGAGTGTGAAAATTCCGGCAGCGGCGACACGGCAAAACCGGCCACGGTAGCGCGACATGCTTAAAAAACCAAAACCCGAGAGCTTCAGCCCCCACCATCGCGATCGTCGGGCTCTTGTAACCGATAAGAATCGTTGTTGATGGCTACCGAGAGGAGGGGTCACGTTTACGAGAACTCGACTCTCGACTCGATTGGTCGGAACCGTTTTCGTTCCCGAAATGGTGGGGATAATCGATCACAAAGAGGGCAGGGTCCTTACACCATGACATGGGAACTCCAGTCCATCTCGATCGTCAGCGGTACACGGTACAACCGGGTGACAATCTCTCCAACCGACCGACTCCTGTCCTGACACGAGGACGACCTATCCTATCCTGTCGCGTCAAGACTGTTTTCGAATCGGTCCTTGAAATCCAGAATCCCGCAAGTGATCCAGCGTGCAGTGGTGTAAAAGTGTCTCATCTCGCTTTTTTTTACTCAAACTTCAAACTCCACATCAAAACATTGATCCCCTGATCTTAATCGGAACGTCGTCTTGTGGTGGAGTTATCCTTCCGACGGACCTCCAATATAGATCATAACCTGCTGAGGAAGGCGCGTCGATACCGGCCGTCGAAACGTCGCATATAAGACAACCAACAGGTGACTCTTAATCGGAAAGGTATTAAGACTTGAGAGTGTTCGGCGACACGGTACACCTAATAGTATTGTTGGAGTGTGTGTTTTAAGTGTTTTACCAGGCTGGCGGCGTACCTAGAAGGGGGCCCCGCCTGTGCATCCGTGGGGGCCCTTACGCTAAGGGCTGGTCTAGCCCATGTGCCCCTGGGCGGCCCCAATTCAACGCATATTTACCACACCCAGCACAACATAGGTCAGTATACATCACCGTAGCTAGACACTCAATTACACTCAAATCTAGTTCAGAACAAATCCATGGGGAGATAGGATTCCCTTAAATCCTGTCCGATTTGCTCGTTTTCCTGACAATTGGTGCACTAAAGAATCATACAGTCCCATCAGGTGTATCATATATTAATCATATTGAACAGGATCCGAAGTAATCTGTTGAATTCTGCTTCTTGATTTTTGAATCCATGGGTTCGCTAGCCTATCCTATCCTGAGCTAAACTTCGCATTTCCCTAAAACTAGAACAGCCCACAGAATGTAGGATGTGGACTGTTCTAGTTTAAGGGAAATACGAAGTTTAGCTCAGGATAGGAAAGCGTGGAGGTACGTGTCCAACCAGTCTTAGGACTGACGACCTTATGATGATTGGTTCGCTCTCTAAGTATATTTCATGGAACACCAAAACCTATGTTTGGTTTTCTTTTTCTTATGGTTAATTTATTAACAGTTCCTGAAAGACCCCTTTCTTCATTGTAGTATTTGAACCATGTAGATAATCATTGGTATTTTGCATTACCATCGGAGTTATCTTTTGAAACGATATCAAACAGGATTTCAAGTATTCTTCTTTCTTCAATTTCGACTTCTATTAAGTACAATTCATTTGTACTTGATGTTAAGTTGCATTGGGTAATCATATTGAACAGGATCCAAAGTAATCTATCGGATTCCGCTTGATTTTTTAACCTATGGGTTCACTCTCTAAGTATATTTCGTGGAACACCAAAACCTATGTCAGGTTTTCCTTTTCTTGGTTGATTTATTAACAATCTCTGAAATGCCTCTTTCATTGTAGTATTTCAACCATGTAGATAATCATTCGTATTTTGGATAACCATTAGGATTATCTTTTCCAACGATATCAAGCAGAATTCTTCATAATTTCGACTTCCTTTAGGTCCAATTAATTTCTACTTGGTGTAAAGTTGTATTGGGTAATTATTGAAAATAATTCTTACTAGTTTGGACAATAGAATAACAGGACGGTTTCTTCCAATGAAGAATTTGGATTTCTGAACTTTACATGATGGTTATACTTTCTTCCAATGAAGGATTTGGATTTCTGAACTTTACATAATGGTTCAATCCCACATCGTCATCATTATAGGGTCGTCAGTCCATTGGACATGCACCTCCACCCTTTCCTATCCCCAACTAGACCCAATATTGCAAAGAATTTACTAATCTTGTTGCCTGAGCTTGAGTTCTAGAGATCTCCAAAAGTCCAGACATTAAACAATATTGAAAAACTTCTTCCTTGTGATAACACAACATTCAACCATGCATGCAGATTATGATTAAAATCAAACAGCAGCATATTCTGCCTTGTTAATTACTCGACATAATATTAAGTGTGCCTAGCAGTTTTGTACAGTCATTGAATATTATTGGGTATATAGAAACCGGTAGCAGTACCGCTACCAAAAAAAAAAGAAATAAATAAATTGCAACCAACAACTGCCTACCAATAACTAGTTGCAATTGCTTTCTCTGTATGATTAGCAAATGTCGCCACGTCAATCATACCTGTAAAGATAGACATAACGTTGATAACACAACGACATGCTTGTGTCGAAACTTTTTGGTCTAAATATTGACTGTCATTTTATTATTACCAGTCATACCGAGCGCTCTGGAACACGAGCAGTAATAATAAGGACCTTCTAATTAGCCATTGAACAGTGGCAAGTGGCAGCCGTGTCGTAAATACATACTTACACAAATGCATATTATTTAGACAAACGTATTTTAATCCTTTTTACCATGTTAAGAATCATGGCGAAAATTACCAGAACGAATTGTCGTTTCAAGTCATTGAATTAACGCGAATTTCTCCACATGAAAACATGTCATGGACTACGTCAATTTGACTTTCTAATACACCAACTGTAGGTATACATAAGACAGACAGAAAAAATGGATATCCATTAAGTTCAGTATGTGATTACTTCCCAATTTGTAGATATTGGCTATTAGCTCATTAAAGGATTTGGCACAAATCCGCATCAAATGCCTATATCCAAAACCTGGCAAAGTTAAATTCATCTGACATATGAGAGATTTAGTACAAACTTAACGAAAGAGAACAAAAATATAGGATAGACTTTAATTCAACTTTTTTCTTGTAAAATGTGAATGGTACAGAGGAGCTAGATATCCATTTGGATTAGCTGAACATTACCATTTTAGGTGTTCTTGAATTCGAAGTATCTATAGACAGATATCGGCTTAAAATAAACTCATTTGTAAGAATGGAACGCCTTGAAGATAGATTTTACGGTTTATAAATCCATGATTTGGTACCAATATGTCACATATTCTTAAAGTCCAACTTTAGAAGTCTAATAATGGGCTAAAAGAAGCCAAAACCCACAAGTACCATTAAGCACATCTGTGGGTTATTATTTTGGCAAATTCCAACACCCTTGCTGATTTTAGATATGAAAAAGAACTCCTAGGGTTGGTTCCTTCAATTGCCCCCAACAACTGACAAACACCCTTCACGTATTTAGTAAAAAAACACGACAATACAATTTACAATCTCATTCTTGCCGCTATCTCTTCTATATCATTGGAGGAATGGTATCCCATATCGATTGTTTTGAATCCCATGTATCCCGGAAGCGATAAACACCTTAATGTACAAAGATATTCAATAAATATCAGCCAGGTTTTGGTAAATAATCCTGGAGTACTTTGAAGATCTATTTTCGTAAAAGCGTCGGATCGAGATGTAGCCGACGGCAAATGAAATTCATTGACGTTTTACCAATTTTAATTTATTGAAACGTAACTAACTAATTAAATATATAATGACGATAATGTTACCTATGCATATATATTTGTTAATTAGTTCGATTACGACTGACAATAGGTCAGAGTGGATTCTTTTTGAATTGAGTATGTAGGACAGGGAAACGTAATAATATAATCCGCACGGATAATCATTAATCTTTGGATAATTACACACACGCACATATAATACACGGTTTTTTTATTTTATAGATACTCCGGCTTATACGTCGATCTTATAACAAAGCCGTTAATTTATTGTCACGGAGTTAAGCCAGTTAACTGGCTCTCAATAGCGCGGTCATAATACCGATAAATTAAGCAAATTAGTTGTTCAGAAAAGAAAGCAGTATTCCCATCGGACCTTTGACTATAACGTAATAATAACATTCATCAACTTTTTTAATGTAGCTTCCGATTACGTAATCGAACAGTCGACGATTCCAATTGTTCCAACGATCGATTGATATCGATCGATTCAAATAACCTGAATCCGATGCTAAAGTGTCTATCTCCCCATCGACATTACATCAGCGTCATCTTCTCCTCGGGATCTGGAGATTCTCTTCGGTCAGATCTCTAATAATAATATCGGCGGGTATTTTAATAACGCAAAAAATTCACGTTTTATAACATCAGGAAGTGAGCACAAGTCTGGCAGATAAAAAATTCAGCAAAAGTCACAGATTTAACGGCTCTTATTATTCATGAAATTGATATTATTGTTCAATTTGCAACACCGTTACAAGAACACTTAATTGTTTGGACACCATAGAACTTCAACACAAAAGATGAAACGTCCCAATGGTTTTGCTAACGAAAATTTGCATTTTTTGTTATGACCAGGTATACCTAGGTGCACACAGGTAAAGCAAAATGTTCACCGTATTTCTATCTCGGATCCTTTGGGATTATAGACCCAAAATCATCTCCTTGCTCTCAATTTTCTTGATAAAAATCAATTAGACAACAATCTAGTCCTAAATTTTTTAACCTTTTGAACAAAAGGTTCACAGAATTCTGTAATTTTCATTGACCATTTAGGCAATGGCTTCGATAGTAATACATCACACACAGCAATCTAATGTAGGTCACCCTCTACTCCTTCCATCCTGGTCAGTTATCTGACATCCTAATAGGTACCGAAAATCAGCCACTTGTTCTAATTTTTCGTCTCCTACCTTTATATTCCCTCTTTCCCTACATGTCAAGATAAGTTAAAAAAAACATTGCAACATTCCTGGACCTTACAATGTTCCCCAATTTCCCACCTAATGTGCCTACGTTATATTATTCCATGCGCTGTTTCTTATTTCTTTTTTAATCGCGCCTTGACAGCATTCTTGATCCATTTTTGGAGCATAACTTTTTTCACACTTCGTCGACCTTACAAGCCTTTCGCATCGTAAAATGTTATACAACAAGATGGAGCCAACGAAAATATTATTCAAACCTATTCAATGCACGACAAACGAATACTTCCTTGCGGCCGTACAGTCGTCCGGGGTGACAAGGCAGCATTCAATCAGGTCGGCACTGAAGTATAAACCCATAAAAAACCCACAAACAACCATTCCCATATTGCCTTAATATAAACATAATTCTGATCTTCGACTCTCTTTTGTTCTTGTAACGAGTAATGTTCACGTGTTTTTTCGTATGAGCCAATTGCACCAGCGATTCGAATCGACGGCCCTCTTCACTCTTTTTTGTTTTCCACACTGTCCTTTGTTTTTCTTACAATCTCTAATACCATCGGACTTCCTATAGATACATTTTCAAAGTGTATTTTGTACGGTTTTTACTTCGACATAGTGATGTGGCGCCTTATATACGAACATCCATGAAATAAACATGAGAGTACCACCACATCGTCTATAAACGCCACCAACGGTCTGGTTCTTTATTAAAGTTGCGTCTTTTCGAATTGGTTCCGTCGTGGTCGCAGAACGACTCTCGGCGATCTTTTGCTATGTAAAACGGATGGCCTCAAAAACAACAAAACATCGCAACTACACGAATAACGCTGTTGAGCAGTGTAGACAATCATGTCTATAATTCTTGCATGTTTCTGTTACACGTATATATGTATATTTTGCTATTTGAAAACGCTGTCACAGAATAACAATAAGGCGGAACAATGTAGTCGCCGATGTACAACAAATACCTTTAAGTAGGTAACGAACTATCACAAAAAAGGCTTGCAAAGTTTAAGGAATATACCGGTTAATGTGTTGCCAGCGTCGGACTTTAAAATAAGTTTATCATTCTCAGGAATTTAGGAAAGCAAAGACGTTTGTTTAAAGATACAATTCCAACCAGGCAGTTACAGAGCCGACCCTGATCTTTTTCCTACCTATTAAGCAACAACCACTAAGCGCTGCACTGCCTAGTATAATTCGGTCATCTCTTTTCACTTTACTTCCATAGAGTCCTCTGTTCTCCTATTCTTTCTAATCTAATTCTAATCATTTCTAAGCTTTCCCGGTATCCTCATCTTTCGCCTGGAACACCATATTTCAGCTGCTCCTAAGAACCGTACATATTCAGGTTCATCATCAGCCTTAGGACTGACGACCTTTCCTAAGATTGATGGGACATATACCTCCAATCTTCCCAATCCTGAGCTAATCATAACATTTCCGTAGTATTCGAACAACCCACATCCGTAACTATTTGCAAAACAGTAATCTAATCTAGGTCTACCTCTACCCCTCCTAACTCCTGTTTCTGCCGCTAATATGTCTCTGACTAGACCTTGATGCCTCAGAAGGTGTCCTACCAGCCTATCTCGCCTATTTTGTATTATCCGAGCTGCCCTCAATTTTCGACATTTAAGGAATTGTGAAAATACCTTCGGATTCAACTTCTTCAACCTTCATCTCATATAAAACAATAACATAATTTGAAACCTCATCTCTCATAAATATTTCCTGAATTCCTAGAATCTCCAACAGTGAAGGTGTCTTTTGTTGACCCTTTTTGTACTTCCTCCCACTTCCACAACTACCCAATCTATTTTGGCCACACTCATACGTTAACCCCCTAGCCCTTCCCCCTTTTTTAACCCAGCTCCAATCCGATTTTCAATTTCAAACAACCACCAAGACAACTAAAAAAAAAAAAACGCCTCGTTCGTAATTTTTTCTTTTCACTTGTTCGTTGTTGCAGGTCGCGCGGAGCCTCCAGCCGCAGGTATGTTGATCGCTTGCGCTGGTTGCGACAAGCCGATCCTGGACAAGTTTCTTCTGAACGTGCTGGAGAGGACATGGCACGCCGACTGCGTCCGCTGCTTCGACTGTCACGCCCCCCTGACGGACAAGTGCTTCTCGAGGGAAGGCAAGCTCTTCTGCAGAAACGACTTCTTCAGGTGAGCAATATTACCGCAAAACAACGAAACAACCAACCAACAAAAAGAAAAAAAGCGAAAACAAGAAACAAATGACGATCTCAAAACTCCAACTCCAATTAATATACTTATAATAATACTCTTGCGTACTCAAAAGAGATCTAAACCATCTGTATGGGACCTAGAACTACCATGGGTTCACCCCATTGGGGTATAAAGTCTTTTTCCCAATTATTCATTTGTTCTTAGAACCTCCCGAGCCCAAATGGAGATGTTACGTTACAAATATCCGTTATCATTATTAATCGTTCGGGGGACGGCAGAATACCATTTAACGGATAACAATGAAAACAAGTGCAAAAATAGGACCAAGTCGTTCGATGATAGTACATATACGTTTCTATAATAATAATACTACTTTTATATATCCAAAAGAGATCCAGGTGTTCCATATAGACACTAGACCCACCATGGGTTCCTCCCATTTCGGTATATTACTTATCTTTTTCCCAGAACGTCCCGAGCCCTAATGAAGATTTTACGTATATTTTCTTTTTACAAAGATCCGTTATCGTCACAGGTCTCTAATAGCTGAAGACTGTTTTTGCTTGGCTTAATATTCTTCTGATGGGACGGCAGAAGACCATTTAACCGATAACAATGAAAACAAGTGCAAAAATAGCAACGAGGTCGTTCGATGATGATGATGATGATGGTACATACACATTTTTATAATAATGGTTAGTTGTGGTGCCCTTGCTTCTTGTCTGACGGTCATGTACATTGTATATATGTATATATATATATATATGTATGTATGTATGCATCCATGGTATAGTGAAGTGCGCGGCGTGAAAAATGTCAGTTTTTTTTACCGCTAGAAGCTGGCGCTTTATTCTTCGTGGAGTACGTGATCGAGTGTCGGTGCCTTTTTGTGGTCACTTTTACAACAACACAACACGACCATTACGCTATAGACTTCATGGTTGAGCGAGATGTGGAAGAACGCGGCGGTACCATGACGCCATTTATGGTAGACGCATACCTAAGTAACACCAAATGTGTAGGTATACCATCTCGATGCCGTACGTGTGGGCTTCTGATTTCTTCAATAAACTGGTGATGTAGGTACCATGGGTACCATTATTAAAGAGTTGCGTATTGCTCATGGGTACACGTGGGGTTGATAGACAAGGTCCAATGGCGATTCCGATCGAGACAATGGGTTTGGAGGCTTTCGATGTCGATTAAGATTACCATTATTATTATTATTAAAAGAACGAGAGAGAAAAAATGGAACTCCAACTGGTCCAAGTCGATCGTGAAGGTCTGATGGTCGAAGCCATTTTTATGTACCATGACTAATCATAATTTCGAAAAAAAAAGTAAGGCAAGAGCTCTCCAGTATATCTACCTAGGTACATATTGTGGAAGTTTGAAGGAATTTAAAACGCAAAGTTAATTTTGAGAACGAAACTTGTCGATTTAGTAAAACAAATGCATCTTCCAATAGAATAAATAAATGCCACCCGGGAAAAGTGACAAATGAATGTGGTACATTTTATAGGTGCCCACAGAATTGTTGTTATTACCAGCAGGTCGATGGGTGGTCATCAATCACTAATCAAAACGTAAACCACAGTAATCACGTTAGCCATGGGATAATTCTTAAGGAAAACCTGATTTAGTTGTTATTATTACCGAATCGAAACTTTTTGCAAACGAGATGACAGATGTTCATACCAGGTCTGTTCAAACAGTACCACGAATTTTGAGTTTCCGCGGGTTACGCCTATTCGATTTTCGATTTTTTTGTGGTGTTGTGTTGGTACTCGTGTCTCTCACTGACAAGTTAGGCAATGTTGAATGTTCAGTTAATTTTTGACAGCAGCTTTGCTTGCACGTCTTCGATTTTGGCCTATTCCAAAAAATGGACCAAACAATCTGTATCAAATTTGGTGAAGTTATCTTGAACCGACGCAACGTTTATCGGTGGTGCAAAATGTTCTCATAGTGTCGAGAACGTCAACAAAAGATGAAAAAATTGTGAACAAGTGAAGAAAATAGTCTGGACCAATCGTCGAATCACCGCTACAGAGACGTTGCTGAGGACTTAAACATATCGATTGACTCCTGCCATTCGATTTTTACAAATGATTTGTTTATTTGAATACCAGGAAGTTCGTACCAAAATTGCTCAATTTCGACCAAAACCAGCATCACATTAACACTGCTAAGTAGCTGTTGGACTCTGTCCGCGACAACCCAAATTTGCTCCAAAGGGTCATAACTGGTGACGAATCATGGGTTTATGGTTATGACGTGGAAACCAAAGCTCAATCATCCCAATGGAAGCTGCCGCACGAGCCAAGACCGAAAAAAGAGCACCAAGTTAGGTCGAATGTGAAGGTTTTGCTTACAGTTTTCTTCGATTGTAGGATCATGGTGCATCATGAGTTCTTGCCGCGGGGTAGAACGGTCAATAAGGAATATTACCTGCAAGTTATGCGCAATTTGCGTGAAGCAATCCGCTGCCAGAAACGCCCGGATTTGTGGAAGATCAAAAATTGGCTTTTGCACCAAGATAACGTCCGTGCTCACACATCGTTGCTTGTTGGCGAATTTTTGGCCAAAAACAACACTAATAATGCCGCAGCCACCGTATTCCCCAGATCTGACCCACTGTGACTTTTTCTTTATTTTATTTATTTTTTATTCATGAATAAATAAATAATTTTTGAACAGACCTTGTATAGATACCTACTTACTGTAAATTTTAACAGAAGTGGAAGAATAAAATTAGCTACTGAACCAAAACATAGCATAGCATCCACCCGTCCAGAACCCATAAGAGTTTCAACAGACAGATTCGTAGGTACAGTAAGCAATAATAATGAACTGGTAACTTTGAACAATTATTTAGGAGTTTTTTGTTAGTTCACCTGATGTGGCCCAAAATCCAATTGAAAAAAAGGAAAACAATTGTGTTCCCAAAAATTAGTGGTTTTTAGTTGAGTGACTTGTACGTACTATTTATTATCGAAATTTCTTCGATAATTACTTATATTGGATACTGATTTTTCTATCCCTCGGGAACAGTATTTTTTCTGGATAAAAGGTATCCTAGGTCCTTTTCTGTATCCCTGGCAATATGTATACAAAATATTTGTCGAATAACCAGCAACTTAGCTGTACCATTATTCACTTGATGAAGTTATAGCAAAACAATTGATGAAATTTTTGTTTTACACCCAATAAAAAATTTGATTTTGTTTATGATTATCATCGTTTGTTTGTTGTTTATTCGCTCGTGAAACGATCGCCGACAGTCAGAATGGAGTCGTCGTCGGAGGAATCCGTGGAACGGCTAATTTGATTCACGTTTGTTTTTTGAAACGTGAGTTCTTTCGCAAACAATCAACAAACGAAAGAATTCGACCGATTAACAATTTTCGTTACGACAATTAGTTCTTTTGTTTTAATGCGGTGATCGTTTTTTGTTTTCTCCGGTGAAATTGTGCAGTCGGAAAAGCGAATACGGGGTGGATACTCTTCTGTTTTCTATGTCGCGTTGTTGTTTTTATTATTCTCGACGACTTAATTTAGTGACCGAACCGACATAAGTATTGGGTGTCGCTATCAAGTAATGTTATCCTTAGTTCTGGTTTAAATGCATATTAATGGCTACCTTGGCGGTTGTAGTTCAAGGGAAATTACGTCTCGGGGATCAGGCTGCATAAGGATGCACTCCTTTTAATAGATCCCCATTAAAGTTAATGGTGCCGTCTTTTTCTTTTTCCCAGCAGTAAAAGATATATCTACCTATACCTACTGTCGGCCATCCCATTAAGATAATTTTTCCCAGTTGAGAACGCTGATAGTCGGTTTAAGGGAACAGGCGACCGGGGGTTGCTTTTAGCCTTATTCCACCCCGCGAAAAAGAATTTTCGTTTTAAATGCCGCGTCCGTTGACGAGATAAAGTTAAAGAGGGACGCCGCCTCTTCCATGCGCTACTATAACCCCCGTCTTGTCTCATCGTTCCACTGGGGGGGTTGATAATACGTAGTAAACGCCTCGCTGCCGCGGCGGTGGTCGCCTGTGCCCTCTAGATAAGTGTGCGATCATTTATTTATGGTAATTGGGACTTGTGTTGGCATCTCTCTTCCTCCTCTTCTTGGCCGGGTTGTTTCTATTTCCTCTGTCTTTTGCTCCGAGGGGGAAAGGGTCCCGACATTCTCGCATCAGAATTTATTTGACTTTTTATCCGTCAGGCTCTCATACTTAAGGAAATGCGCCGATTGTAAAACGTGCTATTTCTCGGAAACGTCCTGAATTATTCATGGACGTGGGGGGGCGCGATCTTTCCACATCAAAGTTCCCCAGAGCGTACAGGAAAAATTGTTTTCGTAATCGCATTTTTTTTTTTTTGGTCGTGGCGGAATTGGTTCCGGATTTTCTAAAGCCTATATCCCTTTAATTGTTATCTATAGCGCATAAATCCCATATATATTAGTATCTAAGCATCAACTTTCTAAAACTAAACTTTCTTACTACTTAAACCCAAAATTTTGTTTGATAAATCAAATTCTAGAACATTGTATTATGAGAGGAGATAGCCACACCGATTTTGTTTACCTTAAAACAGAACAGTGGTGTTATTGGAGGACATGGCTGATACACTAGAACATTAATTTTACGTAGTGATTATTAGAAGAGCTATTTCTTTAACAGCTACAGTCGATGCCGATTTTGAGAACAAATGATTTGCAATTTAACAAAAGAAAAAAAAAAAACAAAAGTGTCTTTTCTAGTATACGATCGCTTTTTTTTCACCGCGTATTACAGATAAAGAATACGGAATATGAATTTGTCATTGAAAGTTCAAAGGGAAAGTTTGTGTTTGACAACCCCTTCGTATTCACATAACTTTGAGTCTTGCCTTAATTGTTTGTATAGTTATTTAACTTTTTGTGTACTGACATCGCGTAAAAAACAGTATTAAAGATATGCAAAAAAACAACGAAAGCCTGCAGTTTAAAAAACCATGTCAATGACGATACAGTAGTGTCTGGATGAAAAAACGTTTCTAACGGTGACTTGGTGTTAAGCTAGCTATTAAAGGCAAGTGGTCTTAACCTTGTCAATCATTTTTATTAATAATAAAACAACTGTACGTACTGTTGAACGATTCAAATAATAAAAGAATCTACAATAACTGACTTGGTGTTATTATATTTGTATCAGGTTTACGATTAGTCGCTACAGGTGCAAGTATAAAAGCTCTCTAAATCGCCTAACAATCTTCAAACTTAAAATTCTTCGCAAGTTCAAATGTTTCATTTTTTCATTTGCTGAAAAATAACTGAACAGCGAAACAATTTAGAACGTAGTCTGTTGTCCTCATCAACGACGTATCATTTGTTATTCACATTAGTCAGTTGTTCCGTACTTCACTGGAATATATCGAAATTTTGTTTCTTTATCTAGCTAATATTCACAAGAAGTGATGACTTCTGCTTAATTGCTCTCGCCGATCATCAGATTTTATTTGATAGGTATTTCTGTTTAATTGCACTCGCCGATCTTCCGATTTTGTTTCATAGGTACATATATCAATCAAAGACTCACTGGCATCAATAATAATTATTTACCTAATAAACTTGCTAATGGCTGTTTGCATACGAATAATAAGTTAGTTAGTACATTATCTGTCAGTAAATTATATATTTTCTTGCCGTCATCATCATGATATCCGTAATCATTATTATTTTAAAGACTTCGTTCACAGACTGTATCGGGACAAGACTCGAACATGGGCATTTTCGTTTTTACATTAATTAGATTCACACTTGCATAATTAATGGCGTAATTTCGAGACGGTTGGATTATGATGATGATTATTATTATTAAAAGCTCAAAGTCGTGCTCGTTCGTAAACGCTTCTATTACATATGCGCCTGTCTTTTTTACCTATGTAAGTCGGTAGGAACAAACGAAGATTTGCAGATAAACATCGCCACACTGCGTGCATTTTGCAATATCATCATCAACTATGCATTTTTAGATACTAGGTAGTGAAAAAACAAAACAAGGAAAGGAAAACGAAACAGAACACTACGGGAAACATCTGCACTTTTAAGCGTAAAAGTACTGGCCCTTTGCTAGAGCCCTGAGGTACACCAAACAATAAAGAAGCTGTAGTTTTGGGAGTAACTAAATGAGTTTTCAAAAAATATCGAATTAATCATCCAATACCATCGGATAGGTATTAGATAGCCTCTATTTTCTATTGAAACAACTTCCCATCAAGAAATTAAATAGTTAATCGAAATAATTTCCATGTAGACAACATATGCCGTATAATATTTCCTATTTAGAAAAGGTTCGTTGGTGGTTTTCCGGTGTGTGGCAGAGGGAGAGGGGGAGTTATCCTGGTATTGTAGTGTTGCCACGGTTTCTGCCTTGTTTTGACTACGTCGGCAAATATTTATCGTCTCGGTCGGGACAAGATGAAATATTATTTTTGAAACAAAAGTCATCGCGCGGAGGCACAGGCGTTGCGAAATATACGACGCACTTCTTTTTGTTTTTTTCTTTTGTTTTCGTTTTGTTTTTTCGTTTGTTTCTCGCGACCACACCAGAAAACGACAACTGAACGGAGCATTCCACACACCATCATTCTCTTTTTCTCATGGGACACCCTCGGGCTATCATCATGCACATATACTTGTACCACGCAAGCAGGTCCCACGGACGGACGGGCCGTTTATGTTATACAGGCACCTACATACGTACATGGGTAACAACCATTTCATACGGTATTAGTACCAGCCTAGTACAAAACGCTTATTTCCCTTTTTATGTCCTTTGTACGCTGGAATTTGTTATGGGCTTATTTACGACAGGGGTTAGAACGAAACAAAGGATTGGAATGCGACCATAATTACTTAGAAAGGGGGCCAGTAACTAGGTAACAATTTTTCGAGTAACACGTACCTACCAGTGGCGTCCTTAAGGGGCGTCTAGTAACTGAACTATAATCTTCCTTATATTTAACTAGGTTTTAGGTGTCTGAGCGTCAAGAATTTATTAAGTTAGATTTCTCATTGATCGTCTTTTGTTTTAAATTTAAAACATTTGAGGCTAAACAACCGCGAGATTAAACAAAAAAAGGTCTACATGTAGTAGGTTCTACAACCAACACCAAAGTGCCTGCAGTATATGGCATATCTTTCCATTTTTATGAAATCGTTTTACCAGAAACCCCTAGAAACCCCTTAAATACGCCAATGGAGACATATCACTATACGTAACTATTATGTAAGCACCCACGTTTTGCTGATTTATGATGATTTACATATGTCACCTATAGTAAGGGTTGAATGTTTCTTTTTATGATGGCGGATTGTAGATGGTATGTTTATGTATTATAAAATAGTATGCTGGTAATTATTAGTAAGCAAAACAATTGATTGGAGATGACATTTGAAGTATGCACTGTCTAGCAGTTACAAAGGTCAGAGGTTATTACATTTGTGTAGCCGGCGGTCAGAGGTTTTAAGAACAAGAAGTTTTTGTGATTTTCGATAATTTGCCAATGTTATAACTATTACAGACTGTTATTGATGGAAAGTTGAAATTCTCACGTCTACGTGTTCATACAACCACAAAATTTGTGGAATTAGAACAACAAGGTCGACCATCGCTAATAGAGGGAAACACTCGAAAAAGACACCGAAAAACTTTTGGCGTAGTAACGGCAACTTTCATTCCCAAATCCGGAATGAGGAGTCTCAATAGTAAAAATTTAATTATCAAATTTTCTCGTGAAAATGTTAAAAGCAAAAAGTAGATAATCCTAATAAATTAATTTCGTCGTCCGTCCATAGTAAAGAATGATGACGTCTCGAAAACATACGAAGATCGCTTAAAAGAGAACAGAAGAAAATCGTAACAAAAACAATTGGAAAACTTTTAACCCTCTGATATCCTCTTCAATTCCTATGGAGAGAGTTTAAACTTTATACCAATCACCCCTTTTGGATTTAATTGTCAACATCGACAAGAAAAGGCTTTTGTTCTTTTGGTGATAGTGTGGTATTCAGAATATATTTAGATAACCGCCCCCACCTTCAAAATTCCTCCACTGTCAATACCATCATCGATACTGGACAGCAAACAAAAGTTTTTAAACTCAAACGCGATTAATTTTTTATTGAGAGTGTGTTTTGTCTTTGATTTTTGTAGGAAAAACAAACAACAAACGTCCCTTACATTTGTTTTGTGTTTTGTTTCTATTTGTGTTACCGAAACAGTAGAACCGCGGAAAGACTTTTGTTTCTTCCTTTATTTTTCCGATAGCCGTGCAATTTTTGTTGGGAATCCTTTCACTGCATGAAAAGCAGCACAATCTTCCCATTTAATCCTTGCTGTCTAGGTATCTATGTCCTTGCTGTGTCCTTTCAGCAAAAATCAAGCTTTGCATGAAAATCAATAGGTATACACACACACACACACACATACATACACATGTGCGTATGTGTATTTGTTTGTTCATGTTTGTACATATGCAAGTGTGTGTATTTGTAAAGGTAATAACTAATGTACGATGTTTTCTGCGATTGAAAAATAAGACCTGTTTTCGCACGGGACCCACTTGAGATAAAAAAGCAGTAAAAAGTTTTTACGATCCCGAGTAACAAACCTCATTAGCAATAAAAAAATAAAAGGCTCCTTAACTGCTCCGAACCACAATGGCGTGTACTATAACATTGCAACGACCAACATTTTCAAGATCGATTTATAAAATAAAAAAGAATTGAATACGTCAACAACTGAACCCTATTCTCATTTTCATTTGTCACTTACTTACTGTCATATGTTTTGTGGTAGGATTCAAATGTTTGCAATAGTTGTCCGATACGTTTTCATTTGTTATTATCTCATTTGTTTTAACGTTTCTTATTTGAATTAAGATTCATTTTTTGTTTTCTCCATTGCTCTTGACATTTTGAGTGATCTTTGTCAATTTTCTATTTCAGGCGATATGGGACTAAGTGTGGTGGGTGCGGTCAGGGTATATCACCCTCAGACCTAGTGCGAAAGGCAAGGGACAAAGTTTTCCATCTTAACTGTTTCACATGCCTGGTATGTAGGAAACAGTTGTCGACCGGTGAAGAATTGTATGTTTTGGACGATAACAAATTTATTTGTAAGGACGACTATCTAGCGGGGAACAAGACGAGTTTGCCTGGTTCCCACCATGGTAAGTACCTACCCATTTATATTTATAAAAACGTTCTGTACTGTATACGATTCGACAACCCTGTTCCTCCCCGTTGAAATATACGAAAAGGAATATTTCACCCCTTGCCTGTGGAAGCGTCGGAGTCCCTTCTTCATGCCGCCCTTCGGAAAATCGTCGATTTATTAGATTAGAAACGAACAGAAATAAGAAGAAGATGAAACGCGAGAAACGTAAAGCTCGTCAAGGATATTTGAATGACGGGGGGGTGATAGAGATGAGAGACGCCATTGGTCACATTTTTTTCTAGGCGGAGCCTCGACGCGCACATGTAACGACTGCTGCATGTATCGCGACCATGGGGGGCTCCCTTGACGACGTCGGACGTCGGGCACGCCGCGATGCTGTTCCAATAAAACTCTCTTGATCACGGCCGCTGCGATTTCTAGGTATTACTTTTAGATACATGATTCACGATGCGCTCTTTTTTTTACATAAAAACAGAAGAGATTTGACGCCATACGTCATTTGTTTGTCAACGCAATAACAAATTTCTAGACGGTACCTACAGCATTTGTTCCTGATCTTGATGTATATCCTCGATTTTCCTTTGTTTTCGAAGCAAATAAGGAGAGTAAAAATTTTGTTTTATTCATCATGCACTCCTCGTGTTCTGTAGGATATTTTTATATGTTTTCTGATGCTGTTGCCTTTATGGTAGTTGAGACGCCTTAATGGGCCTCATAAACTGCAATTTATGGGTTTCCTAATTGCTTCTGACGACGTTTGAATATTGATTGATGATAACCGTATTACTCGGGATATAATTTACAATACAATAACAATACCCGACGATGTTTCGTCAAGAAACGTTCTTTTTTGTTTTTAAAGCGCTTCTTCATCGAATCGACTTAATTGTTGGTCCATTTTCCTTGTTTTAACTTCGTACATACTAGATGTTGTTGTATCTAAGTGCACGCGGAGCAATTAACTTGTTCTAGAGTTCAATATACGAAAAAAAAAATGACTGTCGAGTAATTATACCTACAAGTATCTGACTATCTATTATAAATAACGCCGCCGGTGAGGTGGTGTAGGTATGTTTTTGTGTAAAATTTGTAAATATTGTTGCTGCCAGTGGATAATAAACTTAATAAGAAAACTGTACGAAGAAAATAATAGTGATAGCGGTTTTGATAAGGGCAAAAAATAGAGGTAAGTAGGTACTAAAAGTGCAATATTAGTTCGTCCTTATTTTATTAATTGAACGCTGGGTTTGCGGTGGAGATAAAATCACCACAACTTGACCCTGTTCCACGTGTTGGTATCTATCTATCTAATAAAGTATAAAGGATTATTTAAAAAAATCCGATTAGAAACGACTCTGTTCCTGTTGCTATTGTTACCATCGAATGGTTTTACTATTAGAACCTGAGTGATGACCTCAGTTTAAGTAGAATCCTTCAAGTCTAGTCAAGTCCTTGATACAGTAGGTATTTTTACTAGGAAGTTGGAGAACTTGGACTGATTGTGAATCAAAGAAACGATCTGAAAAGATGTCGAACGTTTCGCTAGTTTTATAGCATCTTCATTAGCAACTCCTTCGGCTGTGTGCTTTTGGTCGTGTCCTTGTTATTGCAGTAAATGTTTTTCACAAGATATTGGGGAAATTCGACGGATTGTGAATCAAAGAAACCATGATTTCGGACCAGGGATGACGACAAACTCTGCAAAAGTGTAGTACCTACACCCTAACGTCTTGGTGTAGGTACTTCTGGGGAAAGCTGGTGTACCCAGAGGTGTAATCAGACACTAACACAGAATGTGTCGAATTCTAGGTACAATATGAACCTGCCAACGTTTCGTTACAACTACACTTTTTTTAATTTTTATGCGTTCTATAAATTAGGTATAGGTAGGTATGTACCCCAACTTTCCCCATCCCGTGTCGAAAAAAAGTTAGGGTGAAATTTGGACCAAAGTTTTGACTAAGATTAAATCATGGACCTAAAAAATTAGCAAAAAACTCGGGCCGAAAGTGGATTGACCCAAATTTAATTCTCGGCCCACGAATAAAGCAGAATTGGTCCCCAACTTTGGCCATTTGGTCCTCCCGATATATATTTTATTTTACAGGATTATATAAAAATACATACATTAAATTTTGATTTAGACATTAATAGGTATAAACATTTATGGAAAAAAATGATAATTTTTCCCTAAATCTTCAAAAGGTTTCCGTTCAGTAAATTAAACAACTGTTGATGAATTTAAAATTATTAAAATAAATTCTTAAGATTAATTTTTAATCAAGGTAAATCTTGGGGTCTAATTCTGGGTTACTTAAGAGAGTTAATTACCATCCCTGGTCCGAAACCATGATACATCCATAAAATTTAATACACACATACGTATAATACATCAACACATGTACAGGGGCGGCTTTTGGAGGCGTCGAGCAGGACAACCGCCCGGGGCCTCGCTCTTGCAGGGGTCTCGCGTACTCGAGCAACAATCTAATTAGAAAAATTTTAGGTAGGAATTTCTTAAGTCTTAAAAAAATTCGCAAATTTGCTATCTTTGTGTTTATTAGATAAATTTTTTTTAATTTCCGATAAACAATTTTAGAACTCTAAATTTATTTATGAATAACTTTAAATTTCTGGTCAAGTATCATCATTAAAACTAATTCCACAAGAACAAGGGCCTCGCAAAAATTTACTCGCCCGGGGACTTCCAATGGCTAAGGCCGCCCCTGCATATGTATATACGTATACTTGAACATATATTCAATACGTACAATAGGTATAATTGTACCTTGCAAGTCCTTATGGAAGAATGCAAGTTTATCATCATTATCATGATAAGATCGTCAGTCCCAAGACTGGTTGGACATGCACCTCCACCCTTTCCTAATACCCTGCGCTAATCTTCGCATTTCCCTAAAACTAGAACAACCCACATCCTTTTGCGAACTGTAATCTAATCTAGGTCTACGTCTAACACCTCCTAACTGCCTCTAATATGTCTCTGACTAGACCTTCATGCCTCAAAAGGTGTCCTACCAACCTATCTCGCTTATTTCTTATTGACTTCCATAGAGTCCTCTGTTTTCCTATTTTTTTTAATACCTCTTCATTTCTAACCTCTATCCACGGTATCCTCATCTTTCACCTGTAACACCACATTTCGAACGCTTGAAACCCGTACAGGGCCGCGCTCCAAACATACACCTTTAACAACCTTTTTCGAATTTTATCGTCAGGGACCATCATATCTCAATAAGATAATTCTTTAGGACTTAGCACCCGTTGAGACCTTTCATCTACCTACACGTCGAGAACTACCACCATCAAAATCCAAAGATTCAAATTGGTTAACAGAAAACCATTTTCCGTAAGGATCTACTAATTCCAATTCGGTAGCCTTTACAGCCTTTCCCGCATATTTAACCGTTTTTCTACCTATCACAATTTTTAACCGAAAAATGACCATCTTTTTATATTAGGTACAACTGATGGGAGATTTTTTGAGGACGCAGTTCTTCCGCACTTGTTCGTTGTGTTGCCTTTTTGCAATATGATAATAACCATAACAGTAGGTTACAATGATGACGATGGCGACGCCGTTGATAGAAAGTGGATGACTTCAGAATCGAGACCCGACATGACATGACGAAGGCGTTGAAGACATCTCTTCGTGACCTTCACGTCGAACGGCCGTTTCGTCGTTCCGCGTATATAAAATCGAAATTTTTGTCGGAGTCATCGTCGTCGTCTTGCGCTTGCAGCATCCAGAAAATAATAATAATAATAATAATAACAATAATAATAAAAAACACCGGAGAAGATGTGACCGTTGGCCGGCGTCTTTTTCGTCTTCTTCTTCACTATCGTCATCGTAGTCGTCGTCATCATCATCATCATCCTCTTCTTGATCGTCTTTTTTTTTCTTTTTATATATATATATACAAGCATCAACACATCACGAGCTCACAATGTGCGTGAAGAATCGGTTCGTCGAGAGAACTCCGTGCCTCCGTGGAGGCGCTTAGAAGGACCTTCGCTATTGTTGTTAGACAGCGGGAGGCCACGACGATTACGATTGTGATGACGAAGGCATCAGTCGAAATATGTGTTAGACAGAAATGCTCCGGCGTTTTTCTTAAAAAATAAAAATTTTTTTTTTCGAAATTCAATTTTTCTTGTTCGCCACAGTGCGGGGCAACCGTTGGTGAAAGAATTTTTGCGCTATCTTTAATAGTTCGCCAGATATGTTCTCGTAAACATTTAATTCTCGATTTCGAAAGTAACGCTTGGCTAAAACTTTCGACCGCTATAACTCCGAAACGGAACCTCGTAGGTGGGCGCTTTTACTCTTGACGCAGAGCCCAGTATCTCTAGAAAATTTTGATAATACTCCCATAGAGATCGGACCACTCAGTCCGGAAATATGAGCCATCCTGTGGACTCAGGAAAACACTAAAACGAACGACAGGGCAAATTGTGCGAATTGGGTCGGCTCTAGCGCGGACCAGGGGTGTCACAATTTAAAACTGCTTCCATCTAAAAATTTGCCGCATTCATTGGGCTTCGAACAAGCCCAGTTTGGTACGGATCGGACTTACGTCTGCGGAGCTATGGATTTTTAACCGCGGCCATGTTCGCGAGCGCGCAGCTCCTGAGTTTGACGTTTCGCGAGTTGTGGCTGGGAAACGGTGGGACCTATCGGAAAAATTCTTTCACAGGCGGATGCCCCGACTCAGCGCGAACGTTTTGAGGCCGTATGAGGTCGCGCGGTGTTGATGANTGCGGTCGCATTCGGTGTTGATGAAAAATTCAAAATTTTCAAAAATTTTTACATTTTTTTTCTTCAAAATTAAATTTTTCTTGTAAACCTAGGTACGGGCCAACCGTTGATGAAAGAATTGTTGCGCTATCTTTAATAGTTCGCCAGATATGTTCTCCTAAACATTTAATTCTCGATTTCGAAAGTAACACTTGGCCAAAACTTTCGACCGC